GACTGGTTTATTTTTTCAGTCATATATTTTGTTTCAATGTCTAGGAGGTAACTATGGGTGTCAGTAAAAGTGTAATCTGTAATTTTTATCAAAATTATTCGATTAGTTGTTACATATTATGTTGACACGTCTGTTCACACCCCAGGGCCTTATTTAACAAAGACTTGTAATCTTTTTTTTTTTTTTTTTTTTTTTTTTTTTTTTTTTTTTCGGTCCCCGGGCCTCTCACTGTTGTGGCCTCTCCCGTTGCGGAGCACAGGCTCCGGACGCGCAGGCTCAGCGGCCATGGCTCACGGGCCTAGCCGCTCTGCGGCATGTGGGATCTTCCCAGAACGGGGCACGAACCCGTGTCCCCTGCATCGGCAGGCGGACTCTCAACCACTGCGCCACCAGGGAAGCCCAAGACTTGTAATCTTGAGGGGCTCATTAGAATTTCAAAAACAGCCATACTTTAACCAAAGTGTAAACCCTACAATTAACTTTTTAAGTTCAACCAACAATATTTTGATGCCTCCGTCATCACTAATGAGGAAAGGGACGCCCAATTAAATACACATTAGTCTAAAAACAGTAGTGTCACCAGAACAATTCAGTAAATAAGAGTGTGTACTGTGTGCCAGGTACTCTGCTAAGATGCAACAGCTCCTGTTTTCAAAGGAGTTCACAATTCAGTGGTAGAGACAGACATGGGGAAAAAAAAAAACTACTACAGTGTGTTGAGTTCTGGGAGTTTGTTTTAAAAACAAACAACAACCACGGAGACCAGAGGTAGGAATAACTGATTCCCAGTGTCATGAAGCCTGAGTCACTGATTATGGATGGGCCTCAGTCCATCTGGGAGTCAACACCCACAGGCCCTGCCACTCGCTGGTGGCCCCATCTTGGGCAAATGACTTACTCTTTCAGAGTGCTGCCCTCACCACCACCCCATCTCCTTATTGATCACAGTCCATATCAAGGTATTTCAAGGATTCAGCAGTACAGAATATGGAAAGTGCACTGCAAACGGGGCAGTTGACAAAAAAATACTTTTTTTCTTCTTAGCAGCATAAATAATAAAAGTATACAAGTTAAATAGGTTAATTCGTATCCTATTTAGTATCTGCAATAATTTGGAAATAGGCCAAGCTGAAATTCATTCTTGTATTTTTTATATCCTGGAGCATTCTTTGATCATTTTTTGTTTTTAGTGCAATTTTAGTATGCACACCCTGGCTGGTGGTGGTGTTGGTTTTTTCACCTGACACATCATAAACCTATTTCACGTAGCCCTATAGCATTCATTCTTGTTTTTTTCAGTTAATGATCTTTGGTTTTAAAAGATGATTCCTACCAAGGAAAAAGAAGACTTGTGATTTGCCCTTGCAAAAACATTGAGATAATAATTCCTCATAATTCCAGCCTACTCAGCATCAGAAGCAGAAACCAGAAAGTAATCCATTTCACTACCTGATAAAAGAACAGATATAAATCCTTGATTGGTTAATGACTTCAGGCTCTGTGAAGCCAGGGTGAAAAGCTCTTTGACCACAGTGCTTCTCTGCAGTTGAGTCCTTTCATCAACTCAAGCTCTTGCTTTTTTCCAAGTTACTAAATATGAATCAAAATCATGAATTACAGTCAGGATGTTGGACCTAGCCAAGTCTTAAAGCATCTTGTCCCCATCCTCACCCTACTCCCTTTATGGGGGCTGGTTAACCAGTGTGGAAGATCAAACGAGATTGCTCCATTCATCTGTTTGTGCCAAGAAAGCGGTGCTTTTTCAATTCCTTTGATGGCACTTGGGTCCTGGCTGAGGACCACCATCAATTCTCACAGGCCTGAGCACAGGCTGTGTTTAATTCCCCATCTTCTGCACTACAGGGCTTAGGTCCAGATTTAAGCCTGTGTTTTGGCATAGGCCTTGGGAATACACGTGGAATAAGGAAGGTCCTTTGGAAAACACGTGAGAAAAGAATATCGATGTGTATGAAAGATCAGCAACAGGATGGGTCAGATATTTTCTTAGCACAAGATTCTATCATACTTAACTATAACATAAAAGCATCTTTTTATTGGACTTAGTTGATTTACAATGTTGTATTAGTTTCAGGTGTACAGCAAAGTGATTCAGTTATACGTATACATATATCTATTCTTTTTCAGATTCCTTTCCCATATAGGTTACTACAGAGTATTGAGTTGAGTTCCCTGTGCTATACAACAGGTTCTTATTAGTTATCTATTTTATATATTGTAGTGTGTATATGTCAGTTCCAGTCTCCCTATTTATCCCTCACCCCGCTTTATCCCCTGGTAACCATAAGTTTGTTTTCTACATCTGTGACTCTACTTCTGTTTTGTAAATAAGTTCATTTATACCCCCTTTTCTAGATTCCACATATAAGTGATAATCATATGATATTTGTCTTTCTGTGTCTGACTTACTTCACTCAGTATGACAATCTCTAGGTCCATCCATGTTGCTGCAAATGGCATTATTTTGTTCTTTTTTATGGCTGAGTAATATTCCATCGTATATATGTACCACATCTTCTTTATCCATTCTTTTGTTGATAGATATTTAGGTTGCTTCCATGTCCTGGCTATTGTAAATAGTGCTGCAGTGAATATTGTGATGCATCTTTTCGAATTATGGTTTCTCTGGGTATATGCCCAGGAGTGGGATTGCTGGGTCATATGGTAGTTCTGTTTTTAGTTTTTTTAAGGAACCTCCATACTGTTCTCCGTAGTGGCTATACCAGTTTACATTCCCACCACATAAAAGCATTTTTGAAAGTGTGTCTTCAGTGGATAAGAATTTTGACAATACTTTATTATCCTCCGAGTTTATGTGTGTGTGCACATACACACACATCTTTAGGTAGTCTTCACAACAAACCGTATTTTTAGGAAGCCTCTTACAGTTATACCGTTTTAAAAAAATCCACATATTCCACTAACATGTTTTAAATGCCTCTTCAGTAGAAGTCCATAGTTGAGAAATAAGGTTATATAAATTTGGTATATTTTCTTCTGATCCAGTTTTTTCTTTTTTTACTTTAGCACACAAAGATATTACACATACTATTTGACATAAATTTTTACATTATATGTACAGTCTGAACATGACTTTTTTTTAAACTCAGCAATGTTTCTGAATTCTACATTGTTTACACACATAGATTTGTTTTGCTTGTTTTTTTAAACATGGTGTGTAATATTCCATCATATAAAATACATTTTACTTATCTACTCCCTTACTAATGGGCATTTAACTTGATTCCAGCTTTCAGTATTATAAATAATGCTGCCATGAACATCCTTTTACAGGGGTCTCTTGTGGGAGTGGGTCTCTAGGGATGCCTCACAGTGGGTCAGAGAGCCTGGGCATATTCCTTTTTCTTGGTGCTGTGAGGTTTTCCTTGGAACGGCTGCATTTGTTTATTCTCCCACCAGCAGCTTATGAAAATACCTATTTCTTCAATCCAGCTATATTTGATACTGTCAAGGTTTTTTTTTTTTTTTTTTTTTGCCAACCTAATGATTGGAAATATTATTTCTTTTTCTTTTAAATTAATTGATTAATTAATTTATTTTTGGCTGTGTTGGGTCTTCGTTGCTGAGCCTGGGCTTTCTTTTCAGTTGCAGCGAGCAGGGGGGCTACTCTTTGTTGCGGTACACAGGCCTCTCATTGCGGTGGCTTCTCTTGCGGAGCACGGGCTCTAGGTGCACGGGCTTCAGTAGTTGTGGCACATGGACTCAGTAGTTGTGGCTCGTGGGCTGTAGAGTGCGGGCTCAGTAGTTGTGGTGCACGGGCTTAGTTGCTCTGCGGCATGTGGGATCTTCCCAGACCAGGGCTCGAACCCTTGTCCCCTGTATTGGCAGGCGGATTCTTAACCACTGCGCCACCAGGCAAGCCCGGAAATATTATTACTTGTTTCACTTTTAAGAGTTCCATTCTGCAACCATGATATGTCATAATATAACAAGAGACTGCTAAAATCAGATGCATCAAAGAAAAACATATACCCAAAAGCTTATGTTCTATTGCTGTATTTGCAAACGTAAAAGGAATTGTCATTTGGATAAAAAGATTAAACTGACTCATTCTTGGACAAACATTTATTAAGCATTTTGTACTAGGCACTAGGATTACAAAGATAAACAGATTATAGTCTGACATCAATCAGGGGCTTCTCATTCCAGTAGAGGAAAGAGGTACTTAAAGCAGTAGTTTCTGCACAGAGGAAGGAGAAAATCACTTTAATTGTCTTAATGGTAGGGACTGAATGTTAGAAAGGCACCAATTTCAAAGGGTGGTAAATGCCTTGTTAAGTGTTTAAAAAGATTTTCACACCTTAATCCTTAGCTGGGCACTACCGTAGTATAGATGGTACATGACAGAACTCCCCCAAGAGCCACAGTGAGCTGTAGACAGGCTCACAGACAGGAACCTGTCCCCAAATCCCTGCTGGGAACACAGGTGAGAGGTGCCTGTGCTCAGCACATCCCCTCCACCAGCAGTGAACAGTTGCTCAGCATCTGGCACGTTCTTAGCACCGTGCTAGGGGCAGAGGTGCACACACATACCAAGATGTGGATGATGAGGTTCCTGCTCATCAGAAGCTCAGAATCCAGATGGGGAGATAAGACACTTTGTGTTGAATGACACTTTCATACTAACTCAGGAAAAGAAACTAAACCAAATTCAAATGATGCTTCCATACGGCCCACAGACAATGGACAGGAAACTTGAATGCCTAGAGAAATGTCTTAGAGGGAAACAGTGGGTAGAATCATAAACTGATCCAGGTACTGAGCTATAGTGTAGGAGAGTAGATAAGCAAAATTGTATACAATAAGTTCTTTAATCCACAGCCCTACACATAGTAGATATGCAATACACTTAACATCTTTTTGGATTGAGAGAATGTGTTAATGACTGGGGCTCGGTTATTACTACAAATATGTCAAGAAAAATCAGTCTTTTTAGTTTTTTTGTTTGTTTTGTTTTTTAGGTCAAGAAGTGGTTTTCAAGTGCCTTGGGGAAGGAATTCTTGAGAAAGCCTTTCAGGGGTATAATGCTTGCATTTTTGCATATGGACAGACAGGTAAGTAGCCACTTACAGTCCGTGATATTAAATGTGCATTTCTTAAAACACAGATGTAGAAAACACTTTGGGAAACCATAGAAAAATGCTTCTGACTTCACGGGTTTGGCTGAATTAGATGATCAAAAGTAATCTTCATTTTGAAGGTTTGACAGTTGTGGTAACTGAGTAATTTTAGTGTTAATGAGCAAAGCTAGTTTTAAACTTTAAGTGTCATTTTCCTAAATTATAGTTTTAACCTGTATTTGAACTAGGAAAATAATTACCAGTTTCTCGGTATAAATGTTATAGTGAAAAACTGTAGAAAAACTCTTAGTATCGTCTTCTTAGTATCATCTAGAGGACTTCACCAGGATATTAAACAAAAACAGGCTAGTGGCTCAGCCATTAGCCCTCTGAGCCACCATCATTTCAGTTATAAAGTTGGAATAAATCAATAAATCATAACGATACTGCCTATTGTCACATCACAGGGCAATTAGGGGAATATATATCAGAGCACTTTCACAAATGTGAAATATTGATGTTTTGTGGGTAAAATACTGTTAATGTTACTTGATGGTGATATTTGATATTTACCATGTGTACTTTTAAAGATCACATATTTGTAGTGCTTACATTTGTACGTATCCATCTGTAAGAGAGGTGCCCTCTGGGTCTCACAGTGAAAGTCAAACTGCAGGCCGTGAGTATAATAGAAAGAATAGTAGCCTTGGTGTCCAAGGGACTGGCCTTTGGGGGCCAAATTGTCTACTTCTGCCTTGTGCCCTTGGCTGCTGTGTATGAAACACTTGTGTCATTGAAGCATTACAGTTTGCTTCCTCTTCCATCCTCCTTTCTTTCTGCTTGCCCTTCTCCAGGCTCAGGAAAATCCTTCTCCATGATGGGCAATGCTGAGCAGCGGGGCCTCATTCCAAGGCTCTGCTGTGCTTTATTTCAAAGGATCTCTCTGGAGCAAAATGAGTCACAGACCTTTAAAGTTGAAGTGTCCTATATGGAAATTTATAATGAGAAAGTTCGGGATCTTTTAGACCCCAAAGGGTAAGTTAGTGGTTGAAATTAACCTTGTAGTAGGGGTAATAATTTTAAGTGATCCTGAAGTTAAAGTTGCAGGTGAGTATATGTATTTGTGCCCTTGGTTGGTACTCTAGTTTCAGTTCATTTACTGAGAAATCATCAGCTTCTCGAAGCCTGTTGGTATATCTAGTATTCATAGTTTATCCTATATTCGTGCATAAAGTTGCTTACATATGCCATTTAAAAGGATGTTTTTACTATTTTGTTATTTTTGCCACTATGGTTTATTCATAAAAATTGAGTTTAAAATGACACATTGGTCCTTCCATTTATGTTGGAAAGTAGCACCTCTAAATTGGAGGCAAAGTGGTTGAAGGTTTCAAATGACCCAGCCTAAGCAAGTCATTCTTTTCCAGGGACGTACACTGGAATCACTTGGGAGGCTTTTTAAGGATACACTGGCCTGAGCCCCCGCTCTAGCGCCTATGATTCAGTAGACCCAGGGAGAAACCCAGGCATCTGTATTTTTAAAAAACTAGGTGATAAAAACCAGATGAGTTTGTTTCATAGAGGAAGGAGAGGACCATTTACCTTTTTATTAATTAAAACTTTTATTGATTTAAAAATAATATATATAAAAATTTAGAAAGTAGGTAAATGTAAGAAGAACTAAAAATGACCTATAATTCCATCACTCAAAAATAACTGCTGTTAACACTTTGGTGCATTTTGATCCTGTGTTTCAAATCTATGGGGTGGATGTGTGGTATGCGTGTTTAGGTGATTCTCTAAATATAATTCAATATCCTGAATTTTTTACATAACATGATGAATATATTTTTAAATGTTTGTAGCAGCTGTATAATCAAGGGTATAATTAGAGGCATAAGATAAAAATTATGGATGGAAAGGAAGTGACCCAATCATCAGAAATAGTTTTACTTATTAACTGTTGAATGCATATGAAAGAACATTTACAATATATGTAAGGTTTAAAGAATAATAAAATCAATGACTGTCCTACTCACCGTTTGGCTTAATAAATGGAACATGACTGATATTTTTGAAGCCACCTGTATGCTCCTCTTTGGTACTATTTCAACTCCTACCATTCCTACTATTACGAATTTTTTTTTTTTTTACTATTACGAGTTTTATGTTTCTCATTATCTTCCTCCTCTTTAAGAGTTTACACATAATTTTGCACAATTTTTAACTGTGTGTAAGTGGCGTCATAATACATGTGTCCTTTGGTGACTTGCTACTTTTCCCCTCAGTGATTCATTCGTTCTGATATATGAAGTAATAACATTAATTTTTACTGCTCTTTGGTATTCCATTGTATAATTATACCATAATTTATTTATTCGATCTCCTGTCATTTGTGTGGTTTCCACTTTTTACTACTGCTGTGCTGCTCTGAGCATTCTTGTACATTCCCCCTGGTGTACAAATGCAGGAGTTTCTAGGGAAATATATCTAGAAGTGGAATTGTGGGTCAGAAGCTACAACTTCGACTTTGGTACAGCAAACCTGTTTTCCGAAATGGCTGTACCAGTTTACACTCCCACCAGCAGTGTACAAGAATCCCAGATGTTAGACACCATCAGAAGCACTTGATACTGTGGCAGATTTATTTTTTCTTGCTCATGAATAGCATTAAAGAATCTCTGGTTGTGCAAACAGACTGAGCCGAGTTCTGAATCCTTGGGCATCAAAGCAGCTCTCTTGAAACTGTGCACTTGGTCTGCCCTTGTTTAGAGTACAGCAGAATTGCTTGTTGTCACATTGCATTCTTCATCCTTAAAATAAAGTTAGTAAAACCTACTTTGTGGAATTGTGAGATTAAGATTAAGTGAGATAACTGAGAGGTTCTTAGGGAACAGTGTCGAGACTTTGGGAAGTGCTCATTCTTAGTTTCTTTTTTCCACACTTGAGTGATGCCAAGCATTGACTCTTGATTTGAAAAGTGATTAGTATCTGATGAAAAAGGTGGCGTATATAATATGGCTATAATATATATAATAGCTTTGCTTTTCATCTCAATTATCTATTGATAAGCTCTTCAAATGGGTCCCAAACCATGATTGCCATTTAAAAATTCAAAAGAGCCCTAAAGTATTCACCAGCAGAGCCAATTCTAAATACAGGATAAATATCAGTAACTACAAACAACTACTATACTATAACATTACTTTCTGTATAAAATGGTCAGCACAGAAGCAGCTTAAATCAATGCTGCTGATCTGAAAAGGTAAATTAAAACACTTTAATATTGTTCACTACTTGCTCAAAACCTTAAGACATTACTTACTGAGAATATGCTTATTTATAGAATAGCCTGAAGGTTAAATTCAATTCTGGCATGTTCTTTGCTTCATTTCCTTTTTTTCCCTCCTCCCACATGAAATTGAAGTTCATCTACTAAAGCAAGTTGGCCTAACGTAGTATTCTGTATACTGGCTGTTTAGTTTGGGAGTAGAGATAGAATTTTTTAAATAGTACGTTACTTTAAATAGAAATCAGAGTATAAAAGGCATTCCTCATAAGGAATGCTGTTTTGCTAATCCAAATAAAATAGCTTTTAGAGTACTTTTTGATTGTTAAAAAAAAATTCCTTTGAAATCGCAATCTTAGTTTCTGAGTACTTTTAAAAGTACTTTCTTTTTAGAAAGAAAAGCTCAAGTTGGGTCTGACTCATTCATTCCTTTTTCCTTTTTCTCAAAGGAGTAGACAGTCTCTTAAAGTTCGAGAGCATAAAGTTTTGGGACCATATGTAGATGGTTTATCCCAACTGGCTGTCACTAGTTTTGAGGTAAGTGCCATTAAAAAAAAAAGTCATTTAAAAACTGACAGTAAATTGAAGTATATAGGTAATGTTGAATATATTTTTATGTGAATGCTTTATAGCATATTGATGCCGTTCATGGTCTCAGAAACCCACTATTAACCACCCCAAACAGAAAGAAAGGGCTTTAATCACACTCTTCAGCCTGCTTGGTTGTGAGGGGCTTGTAGTGTCGTTGGGAGGCCTAGTGTTTTGAGATTGCTGAATATTTTCGCTGATAGCACTGCTGAAACAGTTCTCCCTGAAGTTTCCAGTGATGTCCTTCTGGACAAATGTAAACAGTATTTGGTAGTTATTTCAACCCTTTCTCTTTGACAGGGTCTCCTGCCTTAGTTTCCATTACTTTTCACTCTTTGGGTTCTTCTATTATTCTGAATCGATCCTTCCTCCATTGACCCGTTTCCTTTTCCTACTCCTTGACTTTTATGCCTTCTCATGTCCTGGCTCTATGTTTTGTCCCTATTTTTATTGTCATTACTTTGGAAATCCCATAAAAGAAACTGCTGTCTATTGCTGAAGAATACCGATAAATAAATGAATGAGCAAATATGTCCTTCCACTTAGAAGTGCCATCTATGTGTTGTGTTTGTATTTGCATCATTTCAGACTCAGTAGGACTAAAATTAATCTGCAAGATAACTCTCTCCAGCCATTTAAGTGTAGACAGTTCTACTATTGCTTAGATCAGAAATAAAGTGCAGTCATTACTTTGAAAACAATGAGATCCTGAAATGAATGAAGACCCCTCTGGCATGAAGGTGCTAAGTCAGCACTTCTGCTAAGGTGCCTGGCTCATAGCTCAGTGTTATAAGGATCAGTGTCCGTCTCCTCCTGTTACTCATTAGTAAGAGCTGGGGAATTTGTGATTTGCATTCAGCTCTGCCTCTTATTAGGTGTGGGAAGAGTTATTTGACCTCCATGAACTTCAGTGTCCTTGTGTGTAAAATCAGGAAAATACTTCTTTCATAAAGTTCATTCATCAAAAATTGTTTAAGAGCCATAGGTTCTGGGTGTCCTAAAGCAGGTGTACAGAGTCGAAGAAGGAAAGTTTCCTGTCCTGGGAGAGCCACGGTGTTGGAAGAGGGAGGCAAATAATCAAGCAGTAGAGAGCTGTGCAGGAGAGTTAGAATAAAACAAGGGAACTACCGTTATTGAGTATCTGGAATGCTCAATAAATATTAGCTCTTTTCTCCTTAGTAACTTGCAAAGGGAAAAATAGGTACTTAACAGAGGAAGACGACGATTGCAGGATGGAAAGAATGGGGGAGCAGCGGAGTCAAGATGGTGGTGTGGGAAGACGCGGAGTTAGCGTCTCCCCACAACTTGGGTGCCTGTGTGCCACTGGTGGGGGACTCTGATGCACAAGGAGATGAGAGGAACCCCAAAGTGAACCAGTAGGATGTAGGGGGACTGAGGGGGGAGGAGAAGTGGAGGCCAGACAGGATCGGCGCCCCTGAGGCTGGGGAGATCAGGAGAGGCGGGCGGGAGGGGCCATCCAGGAGGAGTGGGAGAGGAGTGGAGGGCGATTACCCCTCCCACTCGGGCACAGGGAGCCTGCTGGGCTCCCAGGTGAGGTCCCCTGCCCTCTGAGACCAGGGGTGGGGGGCATGCCTGGGACCCCTTTGTTCCTTGAGCCTAAGCCCCACCCCCACCCCCGCCAGCTCCCAGGGCCTTTTCCAGCCCTGTAGGTCCCACCCACCACCCAAACCTTGCCCTAGGTGGCTTGCGGGATCTTGGTTCACAAGCCTGGGTTCAGGCCAAAGCTCCTGTGGTGGGAGCTCCAAATCTGAACCACTGGACTAACAGAGAACCCCAGACCCCAGGGAATATTCATTGGAGTGAGGTCTCATGGAGTTCCTCATCTCAGCACCAAGACCCAGCTCTACCCAATAGCCTACAAACTCCAGTGTTGGAAGCCTCAGGCCAAACAACCAGTAAGACAAGAACACAGTCCCACTCGTAAAAAGAAAAACCAAAACCAAAATGAGATGGCAAAAAAATATGTCACAGATGAAGGAGCAAGGTAAAAACCTACAAGACCAAATAAATGAAGAGAAAATATGCAATCTACCTGAAAAAGAATTCAGAGTAACGATAGTAAAGATGATCCAGAATCTTGGAAATAAAATGGAGGCACAGATTGAGAAAATACAAGAAATGTTTAACAAAGATCTAGAAGAACTAAAGACCAAACAAACAGAGATAAACAACACAATAACTGAAATGAAAAATACACTAGAAGGAATCAATAACAGAACAACTGAGGTAGAAGAACGAATAAGTGAGCTGGAAGACAAAACAATGGAAGTAACTGCCAAGTAGCAGAATAAAGAAAAAAGAATGAAAAGAATTGAAGACATTCTCAGAGAACTCTGGGACAACACTAGACGCAACAACATTTGAATTATAGGGATCCCAGAAGAAGAAGAGAAAAAGAAAGGGACTGAGAAAATATTTGAAGAGATTATAGTTGAAAACTTCCCTAACATGGGAAAGGAAACAGTCACCCAAGTCCAGGAAACACAGAGAGTCCCGTACAGGATAAACCCTAGGAAAAACGCCAAGACACATATTAATCAAACTAACAAAAATTAAATTCAAAGAAAAAATATTAAAAGCAGCAAGGGAAAAACAAAAAATAACATACAAAGGACTCCCCATAAGGTTCCAGTTGATTTTTCAGCGGAAACTCTCCAGGCCAGGAGGGAGTGGCAGGATATACTTAGAGGGATAAAAGGGAAAACCTACAACCAAGATTACTCTGCCCAGCAAGGATCTCATTCAGATTTAATGGAGAAGTCAAAAGCTTTTCAGACAAGCAAAAGCTAAGAGAATTCAACACCACCACACCAGCTTTACAACAAATGTTAAAGAAACTTCTCTAAGCAGGAAACACAAGAGAAGAAAAAGACCCACAAAAACAAACCCAAAACAATTAAGAAAATGGTAATAGGAGCATGGTACTGATAATAACCTTGAACGTAAATGGATTAAATACGCCAACCAAAAGACACAGACTGGCTGAATGGATACAAAAACAAGACCCATATATATGCTGTCTGCAAGAGACCCACTTCAGACCTAGGGACACATATAGACTGAAAGTGAAGGGATGGAAAAGGATATTCCATGCAAATGGAAATCAGAAGAAAACTGGAGTAGCAATACTCGTATCAGATAAAATAGACTTTAAAATAAAGCAACTGAGGTAGAAGAACGAATAAGTGAGCTGGAAGACAAAACAATGGAAGTAACTGCCAAGTAGCAGAATAAAGAAAAAAGAATGAAAAGAATTGAAGACATTCTCAGAGAACTCTGGGACAACACTAGACGCAACAACATTTGAATTATAGGGATCCCAGAAGAAGAAGAGAAAAAGAAAGGGACTGAGAAAATATTTGAAGAGATTATAGTTGAAAACTTCCCTAACATGGGAAAGGAAACAGTCACCCAAGTCCAGGAAACACAGAGAGTCCCGTACAGGATAAACCCTAGGAAAAACGCCAAGACACATATTAATCAAACTAACAAAAATTAAATTCAAAGAAAAAATATTAAAAGCAGCAAGGGAAAAACAAAAAATAACATACAAAGGACTCCCCATAAGGTTCCAGTTGATTTTTCAGCGGAAACTCTCCAGGCCAGGAGGGAGTGGCAGGATATACTTAGAGGGATAAAAGGGAAAACCTACAACCAAGATTACTCTGCCCAGCAAGGATCTCATTCAGATTTAATGGAGAAGTCAAAAGCTTTTCAGACAAGCAAAAGCTAAGAGAATTCAACACCACCACACCAGCTTTACAACAAATGTTAAAGAAACTTCTCTAAGCAGGAAACACAAGAGAAGAAAAAGACCCACAAAAACAAACCCAAAACAATTAAGAAAATGGTAATAGGAGCATGGTACTGATAATAACCTTGAACGTAAATGGATTAAATACGCCAACCAAAAGACACAGACTGGCTGAATGGATACAAAAACAAGACCCATATATATGCTGTCTGCAAGAGACCCACTTCAGACCTAGGGACACATATAGACTGAAAGTGAAGGGATGGAAAAGGATATTCCATGCAAATGGAAATCAGAAGAAAACTGGAGTAGCAATACTCGTATCAGATAAAATAGACTTTAAAATAAAGACTGTTACAAGAGGTAAGGAGGGACACTACATAATAATCAAAGGATCAATCCAAGAAGAAGATATAACAGTTACAAATGTTTATGCACCCAGCATAGGAGCACCTCAATACATAAGGCAAATGCTAACAACCATGAACGGAGAAATCGACAGTAACACAATAATAGAAGGGGACTTTAACACTCCACTTGCACCAATGGACAGATCATCCAAACAGAAAATAAGAAACACAAGCTTTAAATGAAACAATAGACCAGATAGATCTAATTGATGTTTATAGAACATTCCACCCAAAAGTGGTAGAATACACTTTCTTCTAAAGTGCACATGGAACATTCTCCAGGATAGATCACATCTTGGGTCACAAACCAAGCCTTGGAAAATTTAAGAAAATTGAAATCATATCAGGCATCTTTTCCGACCACAATGCTATAAGATTGGAAATCAACTAAAGGAAAAAAACTGTAAGAAACACAAATACATGGAGGCTAAACAGTGCACTACTAAATAACCAAGAGATTACTGAAGAAATTTAAAAATTCATAGAAACAAATGACAATGAAAACACGCCAACCCAAAACCTATGGGACGCAGCAAAAGCAGTTCTAAGAGGGAAGTTTATAGCAATACAGTTTCGCCTCAAGAAACAAGAAAAATCTCAAATAAGCAATCTAACCCTACACTTAAAACAACTAGAGAAAGAAGAACAAAGAAACCCAAAGTCAGTAGAAGGAAAGAAATCATGAAGATCAGAGCAGAATTAAATGAAACAGAAATGAAGAAAACAGTAGCAAAGATCAATAAAACTAAAAGCTGGTTCTTTGAGAAGATAAACAAAATTGATAAACCCTTAGCCAGACTCATTAAGGAAAAAAGGGAGAGGATGCAAATCAATAAAATTAGACATGAAAAGGGAGAAATCACAACTGACACTGCAGAAATACAAAGGATGATAAGAGACTACTACAAACAACTATATGCCAATAAAATGGACAACCACAAAGAAATGGACAAAGTCTTGGAAAGGTACAATTTTCCAAGACTGAACCAGGAAGAATTAGAAAATATAAACAGACCTATCACAAGTAATTAAATTGAAACTGTAATTAAAAATCTTCCAGCAAACAAAAGTCCAGTACCAGATGGCTTCACAGGCAAATTCTGTCAAACATTTAGAGAAGAGCTAACACCAGTCCTTCTCAAACTCTTCCAAAAAATTGCAGAGGAGAAACACTCCCAAATTCATTCTACAAAGCCACCATCACCCTGATACACAAACCAGAAAAAGATATCACAAAAAAAGAAAATTAGAGATCAGTATCACTGATGAACATAGATGCAAAAATCCTGAACAAAATACTAGCAAACAGAATCCAACAGCACGTTAAAAGGATCATAAACCATGATCAACTGGGATTTATCCCAGGGATTCAAGGATTGTTCAGTATACGCAAATCAATACAACACATTAACAAGTTAAGGAGTAAAAACCATATGATCATCTCAATAGATGCAGAAAAAGCTTTTGACAAAATTCAACACCCGTTTATGATAAAAACTCTCCAGAAAATGGGCTCTACCTCCCTCAACATAGTAAAGGCCATATATGACAAACCCACAGCAAACATCATAGTCAGTGGTGAAAAACTGAAAGCATTTCCACTAAGATCAGGAACAAGACAAGGATGTCCACTCTCGCCACTCTTATTCAACATAGTTTGGAAGTCCTAGCCTCAGCAGTCAGAGAAGAAAAAGAAAAGTAATACAAATTGGAAAAGAAGAAGTAAAACTGTCACTGTTTGCTGCTGACACGATAGTATACATAGAAAATCCTAAAGGTGCCACCAGAAAACTACTAGAACTAATCAATGAATTTGGTAAGGTTTCAGGATACAAAATTAATGCACAGAAATCTCTGGCATTCCTATACACCAACAGCAAAAAATCAGAGAAATTAAGGAAATGCTCTCATTTACCATTGCAACAAAAAGAATAAAATACTTAGGAATAAACCTGCCTAAGGAGGCGAAAGGCTTGTACTCAGAAAACTATAAAATATTGATGAAAGAAATCAAAGATGACATAAACAGATGGAGAAATATACCATGTTCTTGGGTTAGAAGAATCAATATTGTGGAAATGACTGTACTACCCAAAGCAATCTACAGATTCAATATAATCCCTATCAAACTACCAATAGCATTCTTCACAGAATTAGAAAAAGTAATTTTACAATTCGTATGGAAACACAAAAGACCCCGAATAGGCAAAGCAATCTTGAGAAAGAAAAACAGAGTTGGAGGAATCAGGCTCCCTGACTTCAAATTATACCACAAAGCTATAGTAATCAAGACAGTATGGTACTGGCACAGAAACAGAAATATAGATCAATGGTGCAGGATAGAATGCCCAGAGGTAAACCCACATACATATGGGCACTTAATTTATGACAAAGGAGGCAAGAACATACAATGGAGAAAAGACAGCCTCTTCGATAGGTGGTGCTGGGAAAACTACCGTTACATGTAAAAGAATGAAATTAGAACACTACCTAACACCATACACAAAAATAAACTCCAAATGGATTAAAGATTTAAATGTAAGATCAGACACTATAAAACTCTTAGAAGAAAACACTCTTTGACATAAACCACAGCAAGATCTTTTGTGACCCCCTTCCTAGAGTAATGGAAATAAAAACAAAAATAAACAAATGGGACTTAATTAAACTTAAACGCTTTTGCACAACAAAAGAAACCATAAACAAGACAAAAAGACAGCCCTCAGAATGGGAGAATATATTTGCAAATGAAACAACAGACAACAGGTGAGTCTACAAAATATACAAACAGCTCATGGATCTCAATATAAAAAAAACAAACAATCCAGTTAAAAAATGGGTGGAAGACCTAAATAGACATTTCACCAAGGAAGACATACAGATGGCCAAGAGACACATGAAAAGATGCTCAGCATCACTAATTATTAAAGAAATGCAAATCAGAACTACAATGAGGTATCACCTCATGCCACTCAGAATGGCCATTATCAAAAAATCTAGAAACAGTGAATTCTGGAAAGGGTGTGGTGAAAAGGGTGCACTGTACTGTTGGTGGGAATGTAAATTGATACAACCCCTGTGGAAAACGGTATGGAGGTTCCTTAAAAAACTAAAAATAGAATTACCATATGACCCAGCTATCCCACTACTGGACATATACCCTGAGAAAACCACAATTCAAAAAGAGACATGTACTACAATGTTCATTGCAGCACTATTTACAATAGCCAGGACATGGAAGCCACCTAAGTGTCCATCGACAGATGAATGGATAAAGATGTGGCACATATATATACAATGGAATATTACTCAGCCACAAAAAGAAATGAAAACTGTAGTTGTCTGTAGTGAGGTGGATGGCCCTGGAGTCTGTCATACAGAGTGAAGTAAGTCAGAAAGAGAAAAACAAATACCGTATGCTAATGCATTTATATGGAATTTAAAAAAGAAAACAAAAAACTGATAGTGATGAACCTAGTTGCAGGGCAGGAATAAAGAAGTAGACATAGGAAATGGACTTGAGGACATAGGGTGGGAGGGCAAAGCTGGGGTGAAGTGAGAGTAGCATCGATGTATATACACTACCGAATGTAAAATAGTTGGCTGGTGGGAAGCAGCCGCATAGCACAGGGAGATCTGCTCGGTCCTCTTCGATGACCTAGCGGGTGGGATAGGGAGAATGGGAGGGAGGCTAAAGAGGGAGGGGATATGGGGACATGGATATGCATATGGATGATTCGCTTTGTTGTGCAACAGAAACTAACACAGTATTGTGAAGCAATTATACTCCAATAAAGATCTATTAAAAAAATATAGTAAAATAAAACCTCTGTTGAGCACAGGGAATTCTACTCAATACTCTGTAATAACCTCTATGGGGAAAGAATCTAAAAAATGAGCAGATGTATGTATATGTATAACCGAATCACTTTTCTGTACAGCAAAAACTAACACAACATTGTAAATCCAACTGTACTCCAATAGAAATTTTTTAAAATAAATAAAAAGAGTGGGGGAAACATTTCATCCACTAGAAAGCACCGAGGGAGTGGAAGCTCAAAACAGGATCTGTGGAGAAGCAGGAGGTTTATATGGAAGGGTGGTGACAGATGCGTCATAATGAACACATACGCTTGATGGGCAGGATGCTGTTCTTGGGTTTTTTGCTTCTAATATTTTCCTTCTGCTTTTTCTCTAGGATATCGAGTCATTGATGTCTGAGGGAAATAAGTCTCGGACGGTAGCTGCGACCAACATGAATGAAGAAAGTAGCCGCTCCCATGCTGTGTTCAACATCATCATCACACAGACGCTGTATGACCTACAGTCTGGGGTGAGGGATCGGGTAGGACCTTCGGTAGCAGTGAAAGAGCTCTACCTGCATGAGTGAACTGTTTCATGTCTGGATTCAGTTCCTGAGAACTTTATGCCAGCTCTTCTACTTACTAGATGAGCTACTTTGCTTACATCATTTAATTTGTTAGGTCTTACTTTATATATAACATTTTTTAAAAAATTGGATTCCTTGTATAAGCTCCCTAAAGAACGTGATGATGTCACCGTACAGCTTTTAATATGTATCCTTTCATACTGAAATTCCCCTAAAAACAACTGGGTTTACATCATAGTCATTAAGGGATATTAAAGAGGAAACTGCCACATTTAGCCTAAAGAAAACTTTTTCAACAAAAGAAGGATTTGACCTGAATACGGAGGAATCCTCATGTCCTGGTATGTTCTCATAGGTGCATAAAAGCTCCAGCTTTCTGACTGTATTCTGGAAAGCCCAGTGCACTTGCTTCCCAACTACAAAACAAAATGCCACACTGCTACGCCAACCTAAATTTTGCCTGTGAAACTGCCAGTCCAAGAACTCTTCTTACAATTTAAGGTCTTCTTGAGGAGAATGCCTTGTTGTAGCGGGATGGCTTTAGTTGTGGTGCTGAGATATATGTAGATGTCTGTGTGGTTTCTGCACTCATGTGTGTCGTTTCTCTCGTTTCTCACGACTAGAATTCGGGAGAGAAAGTGAGCAAGGTCAGCTTGGTGGACCTGGCGGGTAGCGAGAGAGTGTCTAAAACGGGAGCCGCGGGAGAGCGACTGAAAGAAGGCAGCAACATTAACAAGTAAGAGGCTGGTGCAACTCCCGCTGGAACGCCCCACCCAGCTTCTTGTGTGCCTGGGGGACTTGTCGCATTACCAGGGGTCAGATGGCTCTGATCACAGATGGTGCAGAGTCTGTGTAGCTTTAATGAACTGGGTTGAAGAACATCCACTTGCCTCTATTGAGATGCATGAGGTTTAGTAAAACGCCTCAAACCTTGTACAAACACCCAGTGTATCACTGTATAATATAGTCTTAGGTGAACGCAAGTTGCAATTTTGTAAATCAAATCATATCTTAAATTTAACTCGAGGAGCTTATGCTGAAGAGGAAATCTGCTTCGAATCCCTTTGTAAGGCTACTACGGTTTAAACATCAATACCTCCCCCCGCCAAAAGTAACATTTATTGACGAACTGCCATCCTGAACTCTCACTCTCTGCCTTGAGTGCCTGCAGCATGCCCGGGGATGTGGTGAAGGCTGGGGGAGAGCCGAGGTGCGGGGTGTGTAGGAGTTGGCCCAGTGGACAAGGAGATGAAGGCATTTCTCTCAGCGGGTACAGCAAAGGCACAGTAAATGCCCATAATGTGCTTAGGACAAAGCCTGGCACGTAGTATACACTGAATAAATATTAATGGTTGTAGCTGTTATTTTTATAAGCTGTATAAACAGCGTGAGCAGAAAGTAGCTTAGTTTGTACTTGAATTTTTCTGTTGAGACATAAGAACTTGGTGTTTTGTTTAGGACGGAAGGTGACAAGAGGTAATATAGTCAGGAGCATGTTTGTGCAGCTTGCATTTCAAAGTGGTACTGGCACATTGTAATTTTACAAAAGTTTACAAAAGTTTAAAATTAGCAGTGAAATATCACCCCCTCTGTCAGATGGACAGAGCCGTGCTCACTGCACAGACTGCTGCTTTATGGGGTTAACTTCCAGTCATTCTGTCTCCTGCTCTAATAACAAAGGATTTTGCTCTATTTCATGACAAAGCATTGTAGGAGCCCGGGCGGGCATACAGCTCTGCATTCCAAAATGAGTGCAAGAACCAGGATGGGCAAGCAGAAATGAGGGTGTGAGGATGCAGGTACCAAAGAAAAGACTCACCCCTCCTAGACATTTGTTTACTGGTGCTAAGCCATGCCAGCCCTTTGCCTGTGTCTACACTTGCGGGAAGCCACTGGGAATTCTGTGCTGCGAATTTATGGAAATTTTGAGTATGGCTGGCCTTCATGTGTAACGATCACTAGTTTCTATTGACCTCTTACTATGTGCCAGGCACTGTTCTGAATGCTCTATATGTAATAACTCACATCAGCATCGTGAGATGGGTCTATTATACCCATTTTACAGATGAGGAAACCAAGGCAGAGAGCATCCAGGGTCACAAAACTCTAAGCGTGGATCTTAGATTTGGTTGTAGGCTGTTTGGCTTGAGAGCCCAGGCTCACCCCACTGCTGTAAGTGGGGTGCCCAAGTGTTCTGTTTGCCGGAAAGAGTCCTGATTGATACTTTTGTCCCAGAGGAAATATTAATAGTGCCCCCTTCAATTTGGACACTAAATTATGTAGTGTCTCAAACTGGACTACCTCAAGGCCACATGATAGCATGATTTAGGTACTCCAGCTACTGGCTCTTTTCCATTATGACTTAATGGAGTGAATGGCATTCTTTTAGCTTCCTATCATCTTTCCTTAGTTATATTACTGGCTCTTTCACAAATGGATGTATGTATTCCTTACTACTAGTCTATGAGATATCTACATTTTTATGGTTCTTTTTAGTTTTGGGAGCACTTTCATATGCATTATTTCATGTGAGGTTCATTATATGTATCTTTTTCTCTGTTTAAAGATGAGGTTGGAGATATTTAAGTAGTATGAATAAAAGCTAAGCAGACGTTTATTAAGCCTCTGCTATGTGTCTGGCACTGCATTAGATGTGGGGATGCAAGAGGAACTTAGATACTGTTGTAGACAGAATATTGCTTGCCTGTCCTCCAAATATGTCCGGGTCCTAATTCCCAAAACATGTGCATATTTTACCTCACAAAGGGATTTTGCAGATGTGATTAAGTTAAAGATTTTGAGATGAGAAGATTATTCGGGTGGGTCTAATCACAAAGCTCCTTATAAGTGAAAGAAGGAAGTGGCAGAGCCAGCGTCAGGGTGACGTGGGTGAGAAAGACCTCACAGTCCATTGCTCGCGTGAGGACGGAGGAAGGGGCCATGGGCCGAGAGACGTGGGCACCTGGAAAAGGCGAGGAAACGGTTCTCCCCTTGAGCCTCCCGAAGGCACGTAGCACTGTCGGCACCTTGGTTTTAGCTCAGGGAAGCACATTCTAGACTTCTGGCCTCCAGAACTGTGAGATGATACAGTTGTGTTGTTTTAGGCCACTGTGTCTCTGGTTATTTGTTACAGCATGATTGCTGCCCTCAAGGAGCACATAGGTTAAGATAACAGTAAGTTACTTCATCCAAAAAAGCAAAAGAAGGTGGAGGGATTTTCTCGAGCAGGTGATGTTGAGAAGTGCTACATCACCCAGCATTGAAGCATGTTTTTTTAGGACACACTTACCAGCCTGTGGATGTTTGCCAAGTTGGTCTTGTGCTTTTCCCAAAATAGCTGGCTCGAAGGGAGTGGAGCCGTCTCTGAACCCTTTCCCTTGAACCTTAGTCCAGGGCTTTTTTCTTTACCTCACACATCTCTCTCAGCTCCCTGAGTTGGTGCATATGTGCCGGGAGCCCACTGTGGGTCCAGGTCTCCACCAGGTGTCCTCCAAGTTCTCAGCATGGTCATTGGTACTTAGTCACTGAATTGATGGGACATCTTCTCACAGTAGGACCATGCCGTGGTCTGCACAGCTGTCTTAGAGACCTTTGTAGAAAGAGAGGCCCATAGTCCTTTACCTGCAGTTCCAAAATCCAAAGTGCTCTGAAAACCAAGTGCTTTTCTGATTTTCTTCATAGCTCACTTGTTGGTGAACCCTCACCTGAACTCTGATGAGGTCTTTATCTTCATTTATGGTCTTTATTTACTCATTTAGGGTGGCCATTCATAAGTTTAGCTGCAGAAACGTTAATGAATTTTACGGTGGGCTGCTGTCCCAGATCCCACCAGTGGTCATGGGTAAGTGTATGCACTGAACTTCCTCAAATCCAAAATATTCTGAATTTCAAAACACATGTGGCCCCAAGGATATCCAGTAAGAGATAAATGGACCTGCACTTTTTTGTTCCGTTTAGCAAATATGTGTTGAACACCGACTGGGCATAAGAAGAAAGGGGTGAGTAAGATCAGACCCTAGCCTCAGGAAGTTCAAGGTCCAGTGAGGAAGGAGACCTTTGGAGGAGTTATATTAATACATTAACTGCCATAGAAACTTACACACAGGGTGCGGTGGGGACATGGGTGACAATACAGCTGGCAGGTTTGCAGAAGGCTTCCCAGAGGAGACACGGGAGCTTCTTAGTTACAGAAACTAGGGGTGTGACCTTTCTGTGCCTCTGTTTCCTCACCTGTAAAATGTGGATGAGCAAACACTGTGATAAGGCTGTTGTGAGGATTAAATTAGTGACTACTTGTAGCATGCGTAGAACAGGCCTACCCCTAGTAAGCTCTATGTTAAGTGTGTACTAGTAAAATAAATAGTATATTGAAACTGCTGCCTGATAGTTCCACAAATGGTTTTTTTAAGCCTTAAAATCAGTGCCCAGTGGAGGGCTAAAATTAAAGAAATCTCTGACATGTTTCCTAAGCTTCCTCTCAGCCTCCTTCTGGGGCTTATTTATATGGAACATTAATAATCCTCTTAAGCAGACCTGCCAGGGACTTCACACAGACATTAGTGTCTGCTTAATGGGCTATGGATTTAGGGGCTTCACCTCTCCTTAAGCTCTTAAGAGCTTTACAGCACACGTTATTCCTTCACGCGGAGAGCTAAGGCACTGTATGGCTGTACTGCCAAGGCCTGTTCCGGGCCGGGGAGGGATAGGTCATCTGTAGACCATCTTCACAGGGGACGCGTCTGGGAGTCCATCTGCTGCTCCTCTGTCTACTGAGGGCGGAAGGACGAAGCCTTTTTCTGCTCCTGGAGACTGGTTGGTTCAACTTCTCTGAGAACTCACTTAGATCATGGAACACTCTCTAATACCCGTAGGAATGTCATTGAAAACGGTTCTGTTTTATTCTCAGCAATGGCCAACCATTAAATGCCAACAGTATTCATCTAATGAGTATCTTCCCCAGTCTCCTTTCCATTTCAATTACTGTGGTTAATAATAAAGTATATACTAAACATTTCCAAAAATGGGCTCTACTGAACACTTGTTTGAGGGATATTAATATATGTTACTCCTAGGATTCTGTCATATAATTTGTTTTTTGTTTGTTTGTTTGTTTTTGCGGTACGCGGGCCTTTTACTGTTGTGGCCTCTCCCGTTGCGGAGCACAGGCTCCGGACGTGCAGGCTCAGTGGCCATGGCTCACGGGCCCAGCCACTCCGCCGCATGTGGGATCTTCCCGGACCGGGGCATGAACCTGTGTCCCCTGCATCGGCAGGCGGACTCTCAACCACTGCGCCACCAGGGAAACCCCTGTAATTTGTTTTAATAACTTATAAGCACAACGTTTCTAATGTTTCATGTGACTCAATCCTTTTTTTCTTCTTGAGTACCCTCCATGACTCCTGTTCATTTCCCCTCGGAAACCCCATTTTGGTGGGTTTTGCCTGCAGAACTAAATGTGAACTTGTACCAGGGGAGAATAAAAGTGGCCTGCCTTCTGTCCATTATTCAGGGGCGGGTGGGGGTCCCTGTTAATTTACCACTTGTGCATTGCAGGGTCCACATATGTGAAGAAAGAAATCTGAATAAATGTCTCTGTATTTAACACAAGAGACCCACAAGGGACAGAGCAATAATTTGCTCCTGAGGATGCAGTAGCCACATCTTTTGGGACATGTGCCATTGTTACTTCAGTGTTTCCCAAAACATTCTTGTGAAATACTAGTTCCTCAAGTGGCT